GCCATGCTATGATGTGCTATGCTGAAATATACTCTTACTTACTTGTATGTATGTAAGTAATCATGTAAGTATATCCCCAAGTGAGCAAGTAAGACTTATATCCTTCCCTCTGAACTTATCTATATCACCCTCCCTCTTCCACCTTTCATTTCATTTCCTTCTTTTCCATGGTTCCATCCAATTCCTCGTTTCCCATTCCATACCGTTCCGCTCCGTTTCGTTAAGTTCAGTTCCATACCCAACTGTTTTCTTCCTCTTTTTCTTTTTTTTTTCTTTGTTGGGGAGGATTTTTTTTTCCAGCAGTGAGATTCCATACCAGTTTCCGTTCATATCCCATCCTCTGTTTTCGCTTCGTGGATTTTTTCATAACATCTCGTCCCAGATGTTCATGATTGATTCGTATTCATGTGAGTGTGAACATGACCATCATCGTAACCATGCAGAATACCCGTTCCTTTATCCACCCTTCCACCCATTCATTCATATAATCATCCATACAAGCATCCCTTCACAAGTATGCACCCAACCCAACTCCCAACTCCCCATTCAAATCAAATTCCAAAAATCCTATCCATTCCCACTCTTTCAAACCCTCAACCCGAACATCAACATCAAAACACATCCGTCATCACACCATCTAATCATCCGCCAAACTCCCCGAACTCTCCGTACTCCCCGACACGGTACTTTCCCCTCGAGCTTTCTGCACTAATCTGTAGATACCGTAGGCGATGAGTGCGAGGATTAGAAAGAGGATTATAATTATTATGGCGATTACGTCGTTTTCTTGCATTTTGGGTTGTGAGTTTGGGGTGGTTTTTGGTTGTGAGGATTGGTGAGATGGGATGAGAAGATATGTGGATATGTGGATGTGTGATCTAGAGGTATGATTTAGTGGATATTGTTTTTGAGGGATTGGAAAAGTAGGTAAGTAAGGAAGGAAAGAAGGATTTCACATACGTTAATTTCTTAATCTCAATCTCAATTGATTTGGATTATTTGGATGGATTGTCCAGAAATGAGAGATGAGAGTGTAATTGCAGTTGTAAATGAATTGTATTTGCAAATACAGTACTCGGCTCGAATAATACAATATCGGTGTAGAGTAAAATAGATAGGCTGATAGATAGCGAAGTAGGTGTAAATAAACAATCCCACAGCTTACAGCTCACAGCTTGTGATAAGATCTGATAATGATCTGATCTATCTGATGATGATAGTGATAATGATAATGATGAAATCCCGAAGAATGCGGAAAGACACTTTTAATTGAGGAATGGGAGAAGAGAAGGAAAGTAAGAAAGAAAAAAGAAGAGGTGAAGTTCTTGTAATACTTTACTTTACTTACTTACTTACTCACTTATGGTTTGGGTTGTCCTGCCATCTCTTTTTTTTGGGATGGGATGGGATTGTGAGGTGGATGGTAACAGGGGTTAGGATTGGGAAAATAAAAGAAGAGGCGGGGAGATTCTATTTTTTTGATTGATTGATTGATGATTTGATGGATGGATGGATGGTGTTGACGGGAAGAAATATGTTTGTTTTGTTTTGTTCTTGTTTTATTGCTGGTGTCGTGCTTGGTGGAAGGAAATGGGAATGTATTTATGATTGTGATTTATGGTTATGGAGGGGAATGATGAATGATATTCTTGTGTATCTAATATTTGTTACGATATTTATTTGTATTTATAGGTATTATAAGATTAGATATATCTTTTCTCTGCATCAATATCTTCTCGCTCTTTAAAATAAGCAAATGTTAAGCATTGACAACCTCTCATCACCACGTCGCTTACCAGCCATCTTTTTATACATTTTCATATACTTTCATACATCTTATACATAGTACTTGTTATAACCTTCATACAAAATAACTATCTAGTTTCTTTCCTTCTTCTCTCTTATATATCTTAAACTATCTTTGGAAAAATAAGTACAGAAAGTATCATTATACATATATCTAGCGGAAAGATCTAGAGTTGATCCAACAAGCGGCTCTTTACATATAGTAGTTCTACCTAGTAGTACCTGTACAAATACCAAACCTCCATACCATACATGCAACTTTGCGTTTAAAGGTACAAAGGTACAAGGAAGATTACCTAGCTAGCTATCTATATACCAGAAACTCCAAGAAAGGTAGGATTTACCTACCTCTGTACAGACTACGGATAGAAGGGTAAAGGACTGCTGTATCTATCCGTTGGCACGTGGAAAGGAGAATTTTTATTATTTTTGATATTTTTGATTATACTAGTATATATAATTGACACCGATATCGATGCAGGAATTCGTTCCTGCATGTTTGTTTGATCATTCATCATTATTGTGCCTTGAACTTGACTTTAACTCCAACTTCTAGCAAAATACCAAGACCAAGACCAGACCAGGCGAAAAAACAGCCTTATCAAAGTAGTACCTAGTAAACCCAACAGAACCCCACTATTCACAATCCGATAAATTATAATAAGCTTATGGTTTACAGCCTTGCTTAGTCTATCCTATCCTATCCTATCCTCAACCCCACCATTAGCCAATCTACGGGTACTGTGCTTACAATTATAATCAATCAATTATTTAGTCATTTAGTCATTCATCATTCATCTCACACAATAATACACATCTCCAGCAGCCTCTCCTCCATACTCCTTACTCCTCACACTCTCACTTCCGATTTTCATCTCCTAACTCTCACCCCTCTCACCACAACCACAACAAAAAATGTCACCCCCCGCCCCCCGCGCCCAAATAATCGGTCCAGAAAGCGGTCCCGAACCACCCTACCCCCTACGCATGCAAGGCGAAGTAGTATCAGGATTTGGACGAGGCTCAAAAGAAGTATTATTTCCCCTCTCTCCTCCTCCACTTCTCCCTCCTCCTCCACTTCTCCCTCCTATCTCTCATCTTCTTCCCCTCATAAACTCCACCCTACTAACCCAACCCCCAGCTCGGTATCCCCACAGCCAACATCCCGGTAACAAACGTCCCATGGATCGACACCGCCCCCTCCGGCGTCTACTTCGGCTACGCAGCACTCGATCTCCCCTCTACGCATCCGGATCTCGAAAACTCTCCTCTTCCCCCATCTCCCACAAACCCATCCTCCACCTCCCCCTCCCCCTCCCCCCCCCAAACAACCCGCCTCTACCCCATGGTAATGTCCATCGGCTACAACCCCTTCTACCGCAACAGCGTGCGCTCCGCCGAAGTACACCTCCTGCACACCTTCACACAAGATTTCTACGGGTCGCAAATGCGCGTTAAGATACTTGGGTATATTAGGCCGGAACTAGATTATGTGGATCGAGAGAGTTTGGTTAGGGATATTGAGATGGATATTGAGGTTGCGAGGAGGAGTTTGGGGAGGGAGAATTGGGGGGTGCAGAGGGAGGGGGTGGATGCGTGGTTATTGGGGTTGGAATTGGGGGAGAAGGAGGGGGAGGAGAAGTAGGGAGTTGGGATTGAAAGAGCTAGGGGAGGGAAGAGGAGGATAGGGAGAGATAGATGGATGGATGAATGGATGGATAGACAGAGTGATGGAGGTGAAACCAGCAGAGGCGTTTGGAAATAGATGGTAGAATAATCATTAGATGGATACATTAAAAAAGCAAACTAAAGATATATAAAGACAAATTCGCAATACAAAATTCAAAGAGCCTCACATCTCACCCATATCTTACTAAAGTCAACTAAAAAAATGTGTATTTTTATTCTTCCTGTACAATTACAAGCGTCAAAGTTGGATCGCAGACACACCAGAAAGATACCACCCATTACTTGCCCATCTGCCTAAAAACACTCGCAAAATGCAAGTATTAAAAACAAAAAGGCTTGCAGAAAGCATGAGACAGTTAAAATAGAATAAATTAAAGAAAAAACGAAAAGCTGTAGCCTGTAACCAGCCTTAAAAGTGTGTATCCCACCCACCCCAATTCTTAATAAAACCCCTCCATGTATGCAATTCTTATCCTGAAGCTCATGGCTATTTTATGTTTAGCTATAAGCTCTATTCATTCATCTTTTTCTCGCCCTGCCCTAACCATTCATTCGTTTCATTCAATGCTCTTCACATCCCGTTGTCCCTCAAATCATAAATCATCTCAGCTCGTTTTATCACAAACTCATAATCATCCAATATATGCTTTTATTGGTATGCTTCAGTCCTCAGTGGTATCCATTTGTGGGTTTGTATGTGGCTCCTAAGCCTCGTCCGGAATATGCAGAGCTTCCTTCCTCAAAATATGGGTGTGCGCATGCCTGTTTGGCAGAAATACGTCCAGCTGGGTCATAGACAAGCATCAATTCGAGGAGATCCAATCCATTATCATCAAGATTCGTGCAGAGTGGTTGGCTCATGTCGCGTTGCCATTTTGGAAACGATGGCTTGAAATCGGGGAAACATGTCTTGTCGCTGACACCGGGCCATTCTTGATCATTGGGTGTACCTAAAAGCCTAGAAATATGTCAGCTAGCTGAAAATGTAGTTATGAGTGCCATTGGGGTAAAAAATGAAAGTTCCAAAACTTGAGTGACTTACTTGAAGATCTTAAAGATTTCGTCAATTTCAGAATCACCAGGGAACAATGGTTTTCTTGTACACATCTCTGCAAAAATGCACCCAACAGACCACATATCCACACCCGTAGAGTATTGTCGACCTCCAAGAAGAATTTCAGGAGCACGGTACCATAAGGTAACGACTTCGTGGGTATATGTTCGAAGAGGTACACCAAAAGCACGAGCAAGACCAAAATCCGCAAGCTTAAGATTACCTTCTCGATCAATGAGCAAATTCTGTGGCTTCAGATCTCGGTGAAGAACTCGGTGTGCGTGACAATATCGAATACCTTCGCATAATTGACTCATGAATTTCTTAACCATAGCATCACCCAAACCTAATCTACCCAATTCTGGACCGGACCCTTCCGGCAGAGCTCTACCCCTGCCACCATCGGCAACCGGAAGAGCCTCCATATACTTCTTGAGATCAAGGTCGAGGAACTCGAAGACGAGGTATAGTTTATGGCCATCTGCGTGAACGATATTAAGGAGTCGAACAATATTTGGATCATTCATCTCCTTGAGAAGAGAAATTTCTCTAATGGCGGTACTGGGAACTCCTTCATCTTCAGCCTCGAGTCGAATCTTTTTTAAAGCAACGATACGTCCTGAGTGGGAAAGGTCCTTGGCTTTGTAAACAACACCATAGGTACCTGCGCGTGGATAATGTTAGTAGAAAGTACAAAGTTGTTTAGTAAACAAAAGACTCTTTGCTATGTTTTTGCTGAAGGCTTGGCGCATATGGAACATACCCTCTCCAATCTTCTCCAACTTTTGGTAATTCTCCATTGTCGAATATGCTTGATATTGAAAGGGCAAAGGACGTAGAATTCAAGCTGAAATAAATCTTTTGTCCGTTGAAGTGGGGCGGTGAAGGAGGGGCAGTTTGTATGGTAATTGGTTCTGGGTTATGGTAACAACAGCATCTATTTTGAAAAAGAGACTATGCAAAGATTTGAAGGATTCGTGATTTGGAAAATGGAAGGGAACAAATTAGCTACAAAAATATGGTAAAGTCAAGGATCGTTGCTGCATTAATCTGTAGTAGAATCTTGTGCGTTGTAGTACTCGAATGTCGGTCGAATTGGTGAAGTTATTGAAGAGGAATCCGTACGAAATCGTTGATATGGTTGTTGTGTTATTACTTTATTAGTTTCCCAAGGAGTAAACAAGAAATCGTCAAATAAACATTAAACAATGTAACCCCGGTCAGCGGCATAAGCGGCGCGTCTTAACGCGAGATCGGCCATAAGTAATCCCGAAAAGTTAAAAAAAAAAGTATAACCCTGGTGAGCTTTGGCTTTGAGTAAAGTACAAGTACTCGAAATGTTTTCTTTGGTGAGGCGCCATTGATGAGACACGATTCGATTCATTTACTAGATTTCTTAGTGACTTCCTAGTTTGGTGGAAGTTCGAGTCAGATTACAACTTGTTGATAGGCTCTAATTTGTTCCCTCCCGTTCAACACTTAGTAAGGAAGCAAGGCATCTTAATCAAACTGGCCAAGATGGAGGATACATCCTTTGACCGGACCACCACCGCCACCCAAGGACAGGAAATGGAGAAGAATGCTCCCTCTGAACGGACTACCACCACAACACCCAAAATGGAGCAAAAAGATCTTCATGAGAGTGCTCCTCGGCATTTGAAAGATGCATTCAAGCTTTACAAACAGACTACTTATACTGCAACCGAAGATTCTCCTTCTATTGCTGGTGTTATCAAGCTAGAAAGTCTACCTGAAGAGGTACGAAACATAGCTTTTAAGGATTTTATGAAAGCGACACCTCCTTCCGAGTTATCATTACCCAAAACCTCCCACAGCCAGAATTTATTTCCCTCGCCAGACCATGAGCCGTCCTTACCTAAATCGCAATTGGAAGGTTCATCGTATGGGTCTGAGGTCATACCTGGTAGGAAATAATAGTTTTCCTTTTTTCTAGCACAAATTTAAATCATTTGAGGAGAATCAACCTCTTTAAAAGAATTAATTTATTTGAAAGGCCAACTCACTATGTTGCTTTATATCTAAAGTCTTGTGGTATCTGTCAAAGTACATCGTCTTTCTTTCTATATCTTTCTTCCTGAATTTCCTAATAGTCCTCGTCAAGCCACTTCTAATCATGATCTAGGGCTCATGGTTTTTCCATCTCTCATCCCTCCAGAAGTTCAAAAAGAGTTGATTCGGCGAATAGTACACCGTGATCTTCTGGACCCCAAACATATGACCAACCTACATGCCCATTACGAAGTCGAATTCCCTCCATCAGGAACTGCTTCAAGAGAATCCATTGTCGCTAGGCCCAAAGATCCCATGATACATCCAAAAGCATTAAATTACCTGGAACTCATGACAAAAAAGTTACGCTGGATAACCCTTGGAGGGCAATATGATTGGACAAATAAAATATACCCAGAAGGGGAGCCTCCCAAGTTTCCCAGTGACATTGCGAATCTGATTGAAGGTCTTTTCCCTGATATGGAACCACAAGCAGCAATTGTCAATTTCTATTCTCCGAAAGATACCCTACAATTACACCGGGATGGTGCAGAAAGTGTCGATCGTGGCCTGGTTAGCATCAGTCTTGGTTGTGATTGTATCTTTATGATTGCCTTGGACAACCCAAAAGACGAAAAAGACCATCTTGCCATTCGTCTCAGATCTGGAGATGTACTATACATGACGGAAGAGTCGCGGTTTGCTTGGCATGGAGTTCCAAAGATAATTCCTCGCACATGCCCAAAGTACCTTGAGCAACTTAAGTTGGATATAAAAGATTTTCCACAGTTTATGGTGGATAAAAGAATCAATTTGAATGTGCGGCAAGTGCGAGAGCGGAAGTCGGGCAGTTGATTCGCCAATTTCAATTTATCTTAGCCCCTTAATATGCGATAGTTTCCTACTAACATGTGCCTATCCAATGCATTGATAACATCCCATACACTAAATTTCCTTATCTCTTTGAGCGGAAATTTCATATAAGAAAGCCCTATCCCGCTGTTTTGCAGCATCAACCTCCCATTTTCACTCTTCTAAGGACCTCACAGCGAACGAAGAATTATTATGGTTGGTAACACAGATGGATCTTCCGAATCACCGTTGCCCGTCATGGCCCCTTGGGCGGCCGGCGCAGCTCAATCAAAACAGTCAGATATATTATGGCATGTCCAGAACAAACACAATCTGCACTCGCTCGTCATTACCGTCTCTCGCATTAAGATGTACTGGTACGAGAAATTCATCGAGAGAAATCGACAGCTTCGCCCGAGAGTAATCAAGTCGGATTGGCAAATTATCGCAAAGAACAAGCGTGATTTAGTCAATGGATTGATCCCTGAAAACTGGCGCTTAGACTCGATACCCTCAGTCATGGAACAAAAAGATGTAACAGGCGAATATATTCAGCAATTTCTCTCTATTCGAGAAATCGAGATTACTGAAACGGACGCTGTAGGAATAGTAAATAAAACGACAAGTGGCGAATGGAAATCACGGGAAGTTTGTGAAGCTTTTTGTCACCGGGCAGCTTTAGCGCATCAGTTGGTTAGTACTTGAGATTTCAATTTCGATAAGGATATTGATTTTTTTGGTGTAGGTCAATTGTTTACATGAAATATTCTTTGATGGCGCCATTTCAGAAGCACAAAAACTTGACGATTATTTTGCCGAGCACAAAAAGCCAGTTGGTCCACTACATGGGTTACCAGTCAGCTTGAAAGACCAGTAGGTTCAGCCCTTATGTGTGGATTAAGTTTCTCACAAATCTCTAGGTTTCATGTCAAAGGTGTGGAAACCACTATGGGCTATGTAGGTTGGATAGGAACCTTTGAAGGGAAGAAAGGTACGGGAAAAGAGCGAGTGTTTGAGAGCGAAATGGTCAAAGAGTTACGAAATCTTGGCGCAATTATGTTTTGTAAAACAGCCGTTCCTCAAACGCTTATGGCGGGCGAGACTGTCAACAATATTATGGGCACGACACAGAATCCCAAGAACAGATTATTAGGACCAGGTGGAAGTTCAGGAGGTGAAGGAGCATTGATAGGATTAAGGGGAAGTCCGGTAGGATTTGGAACTGATATCGGAGGGAGCATCCGTATTCCAGCGGCTTTTAATGGTCTTTATGGTATCCGTCCTTCGGCAGGTAGAATGCCATATGAAGGTATGGCCAACAGTTTGGCTGGACAAAATACTATTTTATCTGTTGTGGGGCCAATTGCCACTACAGCTCGATCTTTAAAATTGGTCATGAAGAGCATCCTTAGTGCTCAACCTTGGCTTCATGATCCATTAGTGTGTGAAATACCATGGCGTGATGAACAAGAACAGATGGTTCTTGATGCTATCAAATATAATAAAGGTGGTCAATTGGCTTTTGGAGTCTTCAAATGCGATAGAGGTGTTGCTCCTCAACCTCCTGTGGCTAGAGCTATTGATATTGTGGTTAATACGGTCAAAAGACTTGGACATAAGATTATTGAAGTAAGTAGAAGGATATGAATCATGAGCAAAAATCCGTCGCATTTTTTTTAAAAAAGCGGTCGCTAATCACGAGAATTTAGTGGGAACCACCTTCTCATCAACGAGGATGTGCTATAGGAGTAAGTATCCTCTATTTCACCTACACGAATACATTTCCTAACAATACATCAGAGTAAAGCATGGTCATTCGACGGGGGAAAAGATGGTATTTCACCTTCCAATATTCCAGCTCCCCCGTTCCTAGAGTTAACACTTCACAGTCCACGAAGCCCTAGCACTTTCCGGTGAACCCATGATTCCGCAAATCCAAAGCCACTACAGCGTTCTCAAACCCCAAATGACCGGTTTCGACATCGCAGCCGTCAATGTCGAAAAGAGAGAATTTCAGAAAGAATATATGGAATATTGGAATAGTACCGCGGAACTTACTGGTACGGGCAGGCCAGTCGATGCGGTTATTACTCCTTTGGCTCCGATGCCGGCGAATATTTCTATGACATTTGATTATATTGGTATGTTTTTTTACTTATCTTTTAATTTTGTTTGTAAGATTATATAGAAAGCTAATTTATTATTTTGTAATTACGCAGCATATTCTACATTTGTCAATCTTCTCGATTATAGCGCCGCGATATTACCCGTTACGATGGTGGATAAGAATATTGATCTTTTTGATCATGGATATAAACCGTTAAATGAGGAGGATGAAAAGGTTTGGAAATGTTGTATGTTATATTAGTTTTTTTTGTTTGTTTGTTTGTTTGTTTGATTTGAATGTCGGACTGATGTCTTGATATGAGTGAGTGAATGAAGATAAGAGGAGAAAAGCTAATACAAAATCAGATGATCCTGAAATGTATGATGGTGCGCATGTCTCGGTGCAGATTGTCGGGAGGAGGTTTCAGGAGGAAAAGGTTATTGCTATTACGGGGATGTTGGGGGATGCGTTGGGGGAGGTAGTGTAGTGTAGTGGGGGAGATGGTTAGGAGAGGGGAGGGAAGAGGGTTTGGGATTATGATTGAATTTGTATTGCATTGCATTGCATCGGTTTGGTTTGGTTTGGGTTTGGGTTTGGAGATTTCAAGTCATGCGTATGAATGAAGTATGAAGTATGGAGTGTGAAATTCGAAATTCGAAATGCAAAGTTTAGATGTGTGTGATGTGGTGTGGTGTTGTTTAAATGATATACTAGATATCAGATAGATTTGTTTTTTATTTTGTTTTTTTGCTGTTGCTTTTGCTGTTGCTGTCTTTGGAGAAAAGTTTGATGAGCTTTCAATTGAAGTTGAAAGGAAGGGTAAAGAGTGAACAAATATATCATCATTCTTGAATACTCAAGTACATTCTCTCTCTTTCCCTCAACCGAAGCTAACACAAAAAACAAGGAGGAAAATCCCAAATCAATTAAAGTTTCTCATTCTTGCTATCGTGTGGTTGGTCAATATGTCGGATGTTAAAGATTATTTTTACGATCTTGCATCGTTTGATCCATTTAAGGGTACGGATTTCGATGAAGGTGAGAGTTATGATTTTTGGGGGGTGTTGAGAGTTGAAAGGTTGCTATGCTAATTTGTGTGTTAGTTTAAGGAATGATTGAGCTAAAGGTTGAGAATGAGGATCACCAAGAGTTGGTAGGAGAGAAGGGTGAGATGGAGATGATGAAGAAGATGAAGATGATGGAAAAGATGATGAAGATGAAGATGATGGAGAAAATGGAGAAAATGGAGAAAATGGAGAATTTCAAGAAGATGATGGAGATGAATGAAACGGGGAAGATGAAGAAGAAGAGGAAGAGGAAGAGCAAGAAGAGTAATGATACAAAGAGTCAGCCTGTTGAGGTCCGAAATGAAGAGACTTCGGGTAAAGATCCCTTCTACATTGTATGAAGCTATGTACATTCTAATAATCGGCAGGAAGATATTGAGACGAGCAAAACAATAATCCTCAAGATATGAATGAAGCCAAACAAGCTCTAGAACTACCCATGGAAACATTGTGTATTTCCATCGGGAGAGGTATCAAATAATTTGCTCAAATGCAGACGACGTGGTACTGGGAATTCTCAAAAAGGGGATAGATGATAGTTAAGAGACGATGAAGTATTCGGAGACGTTGCAATTTTTCTTCGACTTATCTGGTATTGGGTTTCTTGAGACTAGAAAGAGCATCAGATTGAATTAATTGATTCTCTAGCTAAGTAGTTAAGCTGCGAGTATATATTCAAAAAATGAAGGAATAAGGTTAGGTATTTAGCCTTCGGAATTAAAGTGCTTTGAAATCAAAATATTGAAAGCAAACAAACAGTATACCAAAAAGGAAAGAATGAATTAAAGTTGAGTTTTGTTTGCTCCTTATATGCATCATGCAATATATATGCATATGCTGCCAAGATCCCAGGAGGTCAACATCTGGACTTTACGCAAAGTTGTTATCTTCATAAGTTTCATCTGTGAGTAGAAGCCCAGAAGCCACAGGGGAGCTTCCATCAATGGTTGGCGCTTTCTTATATAGATAATCGAGCAATATCAAGGGAGTTATGCTCTCATAGTCAAGCCATAAGTGCATTGCGGGGACTTTCCCCTTGCTGACAAGGCTCTCATATTAGAGAAGCTCACTAAGTATTTCCAAAGAGTGACCTCCACGGACTCTTCGGAGCAGGATGTGTTCATAGTGAACGAGGAAATGTACCACTTGTACATTTTCATCATAAATCGTTTGCTTGGACAAAGCAAGCTTAAGGAGCATCGAGACAGGTTATGAAGCTTTTAGAACAATTTGAGGGAACATTGAGCTTCAGCGAAGACGACGGTACGTCACCAATGGTTGGACTAAATGTAGATACAGATACAGCTAAAGAGGAAGAGTTCAAGCATGTCAACAAAAAACAGTGCATCACTACATCAAGTTCTAATCCTCACCCAACTTTGGCTATGGCATTTTCGAAAGTTAGAAGAAAGAAAAATATGGAAAGTTTAGTTTTAGGATAGCATGGCATGGCACTGGATGCGGAATATAGATTATTTGACAGTCAAAACATCAAATTAATTACCCCATTTTTAATCATTATAAAACAAAATGAAGTTGTAATCTCACCGATCCAAATTTGCTCGTTCGCCTTGATCATAGACTTATAGATGATGACCCAAACAAAACAACCAAGTTAAAATTCCTAATCTAAAAAGAAAGCCAAGAAACTATTTTCCATAATAGCTAGTTTCACATCTTTCTAGTGTCTAGCTGGTAATCCAGCTAAATCTACTTTATAACCTTAGAAAACACTACTTATCTGTCATAGCTCGTTCAATGTCGATAAGCTTGAGATGAATAATGAGCTTAGTACTCGTAGATCGCTTGGTCCTTTTGTGCAATAGATACAATCTAATTAATCAAGTTTGCTTCACCGCCTAACTGGTACTTCTTCACCGGCGCTGAAGATAAAATAGCGATACCATTTTGGAAATCCGACTTTGGTAATAGTAAATAAAGAAAATAAATAATTATCTCCAGCCACAGTTCTCTATTCTTCACTTTACTCCACACCCTATCCACTAAAACTAATTTTCGCTTATTTCGTAAGGATAAGGGTGGCGAGCAGAGTGGAAAGAAATCTTCGCTTACCCCACATACACAAAATGAGCCTGCCCTGCACAACCAAGTCAAACAAAAAACCATCAAAAGGATTCAGCTGCAGTTGAAAAAATTGATACAAGCAATGAAGTTTGAAAAAGAATTTTCCGAATCCGGGAATCGAACCCGGGGCTACTCGGATCGTGGTACCGATTCTGTTGTACAGAGGGCATCTTGAAAGCGAGTTATGTTAACCCCTACACTAATTCGGATTGGTTGATGTTTGATGCAGGTTAGTCCGCAACAAAAGAATATAAAGAGTTTTCAAAAAGTGAGGAAAAGGTGGGAATTGTGGATGGTGATAGTTAGCGAAGGTGCTGTGGATGCATGAAAAACATACATGAATGATCGGTGGTGGCGGTACCTTGGGAAAGCTGTGGGGGGGTTTTTTTTGGAGTTAAGGACTCGATTGACTTGGTTGCCTGTCTAATAAATTTCATTAGCCTATGATAGACATGTTCCAATTCTAAGATACATACCTCCCATCAATATCTTGATAGCATATATGGGAGATATTCGTAGCAGATACCCGAACTCAAATTCTCTGGCGGTACAAGCAATTCATCAAGATTTCTCTTCTCGACTATGCTATGAATTTCCTGGCATCTATCCTCAGAGTGGTCCTAAAACAAGGTGACCATGCATCCGTGCAAGGTATGCACAACTGCTTGGAAATCAAAAACACTTTGACAAACGATCTGTCTGATAGTGGTGGCAACAAATGACCCGTCGATACAGATAAATTCCTGAAAGACTACTAGGAAGTATCAAGACAGGTACTGAAACTAAATAATCCTGCAGTCGAATACTCTAGGGGATGGGAAACATAGGTACCTAGTGAAGTGAAAATGCGCGAAGTTTTAGCAGAAGACGCAAAGTAGTATGTGAGGCAGGAGCTCGGCAAATGTGGAAAGAAATACTAGCGCGAAAATGAGAGACGATGAAGAATGTAGTATGAAACTTAAAAAGAACAAGTCTGTCTAGATTTGACGTATTATTTGAACTTAATATGTTTGACGTTCAGAAATCGACAACATTTATCATCGTACCGCAGTTCGGACAATTGACAATCAATGGCACATCCCAATCTATATAGTAATACTATATATCCGTCTCTTCCGAAAGTGCTACTCTCGTTCCTTCCAGTGGCACACTTTCATCTCTATCCAATCTATGATACACACCCTGTCTCCCTACCAAAACATCTTTCAGATTATCTACAAATCCAATGTCATATAAGTTTTCAACATCTTTCAGGCTCCACACCCGTTCCCATTCTCCATCTCCAATAGCCCCAACAGGATCCTGTCCATCTGCTGTACGCAAAACTATCTGTTGACTTTCCGCTGGCCAATGTGTCCAAGCTGGTTCTATTCGTAAGTTTTTCTCTCGATTCTCGGAGAGAGAGCGTTTGAAGACGTAACCTTCGGACATCTCTATACCCCAGTCGGACCATTTCATACTTTCGTTGGTGGTGGTACCGCACCAGATTAGGTAGATATGATATGAGAAAAGACCGTAGACCAATGGGGTAAAGAGGAAACACAAGAGAGTTATAGAACCAATCTGAGTGTGTTCTTGGAGAGCCCATCCCCAGATTGAGAAGTAACGAGACCATGTGAAACCGAATCCTGCAGCAGACCATTCGGGGTATTCTGCAGTAATGAAAGTGGAGAGGATTGAATTACCAACGTACACAGCATAACTGGTGAGATTACCAGTGGCCAGAAGTAAAAGTAGAAACCAATGGTGATTGTTGTAACCAACGCAGTTATTGATGAACACGCAATGGTGATCACATTTTGCGATGCAGCGTTTGCAAACATGACAATGCTTGGATCGGGCAGGTTTCAGTAGATGACATGTTCGACAAGGGTTACCGGGATGAAAAATGGTGTAGTCGTAAGGATAAATACTCATTTGACTGACGTGATTCGAAGGTGTGATATAGCCTGGATCACGAGAAGCTGCTAGATAGAGGAAGCCATATGGTAATGTCAAGGCAATAATTGCCTTTATTTTCCGAGATGTGCTCATAAGTGGCCATGCCGGAGGTAAGAACAGAACCTCGGATACGGCAAATAGGAGGATGAAAAATATCTTGAGGTTGTTAGCATGGTCAGGGACACGATACTCCCACAATTTGAAGATTGGCCGCATACCACAAGGAACTTATGTACCGCCAATGCGATAGTACAAGCTGCACTTGTTCGAAGCATATCACTCGAAGGCACACACGACTCAAAAAAACGATACAAAATAATGCAGACGAGTCACTTGACCTGGTGCTCATTTCAAATCAAAATAATAGCAATCTTACCATGACAACAGGATGACGGTCATTCCATAATGTGTGAGCCAGTCTCCCAATCGAGGCACTGAGACGACCATTGGTTAATCTCTTATCAGCAGCTCTAAATCCACGAGGAATATGAACCCATATCACTCGATGTAGACTACCTATCGGTGTATTCCTTTCAAACCGTAAGCAGGTGTTTTATGAAATTCAACAAGACGGAATACCTTAACGCTGGAAGCCTGCCAAAGAAGGCAACGAATGTGAAAAAAGAAAGAACTAGAATAGCTATAGCCACATTTCGGATAGTCCCCATATTTTGGTGGGATTCGATGTTTTAATATATGAAATGAAAGTAGTAATGAATGCTATCACAACAAGAGGTCAACAATTACAGTCTAGAAAATCATGATACGAGTGTTAGGGTTTGCGTGAGCATGAGATTTCGAGGTGTATTTTATGTCGGTACTTCATATTTGCCAAGCCCGATATTGTCAAGAGCAGTCAGCTGATTTCGCGACCGTAAGGGTAGAAAGCTTATGAGCGCGTCAAATGTTCAACTATCTACGTAGGTAGGTACTTAGACATTCGATATTGCATACCTTACGTATAATACACCTTTATACCACAACTTACTTCTATGGATTCTTTCCAAAAGCTCCAGCGGATGATCTTGGACGCAGCAACCACTTTTGAAAGTTTTCGCTGATCTAGTCCCTTCACAATTAACGTTAAGCTCTCAAACAACATCTCGCGACAGGCAACTCTCTCCAGTCGCACAGGCCGAAACCATGGCATCTATTGTATATGATGGCGTTGGTGGTGGAGAGGCACTTTTTGAAGGCATGAAGTTCTTCATTCTTCAGCGAGTGCCTATGCGCTCAAGGTGGATAGAGTTAATTCAGGTAAGGGTGTCGTCAAAATGGTAGGAAAGAAACGTGCTAATTTTTGTGACAGTCAAATGGGGGTGAAGTAACAAAGTTCGAAAAGAAGGCTCAAATTATAATCGCAGATGGTGCGCGAAAAGATGCGCCGCCGGGATCTGTTTCATGGAAGTTTATTGAAGAATCTGCGAAAGCTGGGAAATTGGTAGACATGGAAGCATATCGATGCGGTGCGCAAGCAGGGACGATTAGTGAACGAGCAACTGCACAGCCCGCAAAAACTTCACGCACACCTTATACAGCCGAGGATGACCGCATTTTGACCAAATGGGTCTTGAAGGCAGAGCGAATGGGGCGGTCCACGAAGGGTAATCAAATATACATGGAATTAGCGGCGCGGGTATGTGTATTCTGTTGGATTCAAAGCATTTTTGCTGAATTTGGGTTGATATTTGTTACAGTACCCTCATCATACATATCAATCTTGGCTAGATCATTGGAAGCGCTACCTTCTACCTCGCCATGAGGCAGGAAAATTACATTACGATATAGAAGATGGCGACTCACCATCTCCCGAAAGGCAACCAAAATCTGCTAAAAGGGAGCCCGCCAAGCCTCCTCCAACAAGAATTCCTCATGAACGAGTACAACCATGTGCTCCAAAAGAAAGAGTCCCGGTTCCTGATCCTTCATCCCTTCAAAGGCATTCAAGCTCCCAGTCATCGCGGCCGGCATTTTCAAAAGCCTCGTTTCCGGAGGGGGATACACGAAAGCCTGTGGATAGACGACCTTTCACAAAAGAGGACGATGATTTACTTCGGAAAGAGTTTGTGGGAATTTGTAAACTTGATCCCAGTAAAGAGATTGCGGCTTGGGAGGCATGTAATCGAGCAGTAAGTTTAATATCAATTATCTATATGTAATTCACTGATGTTAAGACACGCAGCATCCTGATCATACAGCCCAGGAATGGCGAAACTATTTCCACGAAGAGTTTTTTCCTCGAGAAATGAAAGAAAGGGAAATGAAAAAGCAGGCAAAAATTAAGCCTGTGCCATCGACAACCAGTCGGCATGTTTCTAATCCCTCACAAGATGAAGTTCACAAAGCATCCACGCGAACAAAGCATTCTACCAATGACCCCGAGAAAGCTTCAGTAAAAGCTGCTGTCAAAAGCCCAGTTATTCCTTCTCAAAATTTTAGGTCAAGAGCCCACCAGGAGCCAAAATCAACACCCGAGGTTATTTCAGGAAAAGTTGATCTAGAACAAAGGCCTTATACGAATTCGCTTCTGAAGGAAGAGGCATATTTTACCCATACCCTAAAAGAATTCTCGGAGGCCTTGGGATTTGAACCTGATGACTTGAACTTTTATCCCGTAGTTTGCGGAAAAGAGATTTCCATTTTCAAACTTTGGCAGATCGTCATGTTATTTGGTGGCTTTGCAAAGACAAACGCTGACAGCCGATGGCAAGAGGTAGCTGATAGACTAAGCTTTCCCATTGTGAACCGTGCCAAGGCAGCTAAAGATTTGAAAAGTTGTTATGAAGAAATATTATCTGAATTAGAAACAGCAGTTGATGAGGCCCAGAACGACACAGAGAATCCTGAATTCACAACCTCTCAAGAAGAAGTTATGATAGCATCACAGCTCGAAGCTACAATTTTACGCAGTGTTCAGAGATCCTCCGATCATGAAGATGGGATAGAGGACAACGATGAAGTTTCAAAGCTACCACCACCGAGGACTAAACCCAAGCAACAGTTTACCACGCCAACCAAGAAACGCACAATTGACTCTGACGGCTTGTCCAACCGTACCGGTTCTTCTGTGACTAAGCACGAAATCAAGCGTCGTAAGGTCCAGAAGGGCAAAGGTAAAGAAGTGGAAATTCCATCCACTCCAGAACATATTTTCAATGCTACACAACCGCCTATAAGTCATCATACAGCACCGCCTAAGTATCCATTTGATGAAAATAGCGAAGATGACGATCGTGAAGCCCGAGAAAGAATTCGTCGTATTCAGAAAAGGAAACCAGAAGGGTCATCTGGGAAACCTTCAGCCAAGGACCCCTTGCTCGAGCCAGAGACGCAAGATTTCCATTATCCAGACATTGGCAAAGAAGCCTCGATAGCATCTCCGACTCCAGCTCCGAAAAATAGAGCTGCAAAGGATATCATTGATTTAACTCAAGATTCAACTACAGAGTCGGAAACAGAACCAGAACCAGAACCAGATTCGGAATCAGATTCGGAAGACTCAATTAACGCCGAATTCGCCAAATATCTGGACCTTGGCTATTCCCGTGAAATCATAGCAGAAGCTCTCATTGCATCGACTTACGTATATGACGTTGCAAGCGTTATTATGGAACAATTGAAAATGGGCCACGATATCCCGGACAATATGGAAGGAGCCTGGACTAAAAGGGATGATGATGCGCTACTGAAGGGCACGGGGCCAGAGTATGAGAGAATAAGAGAGAAACATGGTGATGCAAGGATTGCTGCGAGGAAGAAGTTTAATCGACATATTCAGAGTCTTCAAGAATTGGATTGAGATGAAGAAATTGGTAGTAAGGAGAGATCGGGGAGGATTGGCGGCAATGATGATTTGCGATGTAGCACATAGAGGTGTGCAGTGGAATGAAAAGGGTAAAACGAGGGTATAAGGTTATCTTACAGTCTGTCTTTTGATTTGGGAACATAGTTCATGAGTATGATACCCAGGAATGGGACGGGGCATTGCAGTGCGGGCGCGAATGGCTATATTTCTTTTGCTTTCTTTTGGGAAATATCATTATTTATTTATCGTTAGTTACTATTTAGGCCATATTATAATGAAAGAGCTTGAGCTCTCATGTATTAAAGTAGCATGGGTAAATCCTGTTACCGTACCTTTGACTTGGTGAGCTTTAAGGCTACTGATTTGTGTTCAATTAGAGGCAAGAGATTATGGATCTAATTGTGCAACTCACAATCTTCACCCTTGAAAATAATATAATCACTCTATTCTTGCTCTTTGCCTACCTATATACATGAATAAATATCTTCTGCAATCCTGAGATATTAGGACTTATCCGTTTTTAGTACCAGTACCAGAACTAGCGGTTCAAATGCAAGAAATAAGATTTAGATAAGTTTCTGTTAACAGGAGACAGGTATCGAAATTCTGGTATAGATATGTAACATTTTGAAAAACAAGATGCCATTGCAAGACTATAATAGTAGCTTTTTAGATCTAAGATAGTGTATGTATGTAGACTATACTATGTACGGTAGACTACTGAAATAGTTTCCCGCTATCCTTATCAAGACTTGCAACAAAAGAGAAAGGGGCATTTTGATAGGCAGATAAAGAGATGATAGATATACTAGTATGATGTGATCTGCGATGGAAGGAGGTGGGGATGTGAGGGGGGGATAGCTTAAACTGTATTTGATGGAGTATCAGATCGGGAGAAATGTAACTTAGGATGGATACTTGAGTATTTATGGTTCCAAATACCAGTATAATTATAAGCTTTCAACCTTCCCTAACCTAAAACATCATGATATAAATACTAGAATATGGCACTTTTCCCTTTCTCATCAAGTGCTTGGTGGACTGGTGATAGGATTGTTAAATTTATTTGATATGTAAACTAAGTAAATAAGATTTATATGGGTAGATCTGTTAGGGTTAGCTAGAGTGAAGGATAAGGATCCTGGTACGATGTGCAACATTGTTTCTTTTGGGGAGAAAGAATCGTTGTGGTTGGTGGAAGGGTTATCAGTTTACTTGGAATTTAGGACTCGGTAAATGAATAAGGTTTTTGCTGGTTCGTACTGCTTAACTTTGTGGAGATGGTTCCTTTTATGGTATGTTATGGAGGATTAAGTTGGTTTTTAGGAGAGGGGGAAGAGGGATATATCCTGGTATCGTGAGGTGTCGATATACAACAAAACTTTTTAGGTTGGATAAATGGTTGGGGTTAGATGGTCAGTTGCAATTAATGGTTAGATAGCTACACCTAAGTACCGAGCCCTAAGCTGATAGTTTTGTGCTTTATCCTTGTTTGTACTATATTGTGCTTGGAAAGCATGAAAGATGATATGAAAGATTAAATCTGATTTGTTTCAATCCCTTATAACCTAAGCTGCAGGTCTTTTGGCATTTAAATAAGTGCAGGAAAACAAGTAATGGGCCCAGCTAGCCTAATAACATCAATGGTTTACCATAGATATGGCACGAACCCAGCTTGCAGTAGGTGTGTGAGATTAAAACCTAGCTGTTGTTGCTTCTAGAATATCTAAGCTAGGCAAATATGTTTTGGAGACGAATTTATGAACTTTTGGATAATAGATTGCTATAACGGTGGTAAGGTATTCCAGAGCTGTACTTGGAAAGTTTCTCAACAGTCCGCTTCAAGATACATAGAAAAAGTAGAGTATCAACACTAATATATTCTTCGCTCGAATGTCAGTAGACCGGAGACTCTGAGACCTATAAGCCTGCAAGGAGTACGCATACCCAGACACGGGACGGTTCAGCTGACCAATTTAGAAAGAAACAGTGTCAGAAGAAGTAATATTACATGATGGATGACATATACGTGAAGAAAATGATAGAAATCCAAAGATAGCCTCTAGTTGAGGAAAGAAATCCTCAATCTATTTCAAATGATTGGAAGGAGGATACACCAGCTGGCGCATGATATTAGACTTTTGTGTAACGTCTTGTTGCACAGACGTACATATATAACAATGCCAGTATTTGATACTCACCATAATGTGTATTCTAGAATGCAACCCAGTATATATATATATCGTATAGACGATGACAATCCTCTTACTAACCCGGAATGGTTAGATCAGAGAAGAGACTGGTAAGGTCATTGTACTATCTATCCACTAGCGTCTCAATGTTACTTTTATACTCGGGCTAGTCTTTGAAGAGGACCGCGGTGTTATGACGGGCTACACAACTACCAAGGCACGTGATCACAAATGATCAGTAGTGATCATTAAGGATCACTAAGGATCACGATATAGGTGATCACTGATGATCATAGAAGCATGAAGGACTATATAATCAAGATGGATTTCCTTTGTATAGAGCTTCGTGCTCAAGATCAATCATACTCTACTATTAGTTACGAATTGCATATCATCATTGTCATTACTTAAGTCCCTGCTTGACGCCTAGTTATAAACCACCTCGAGAGCCTAGAGCACTTCCACGTGATCTAGACGGCTACCCTCGTAACAGTCGTGGTGCTTGCCCCCCGAGTTTAGCGGCCGCCGCATCAGACAAGGTACGTGCACGAGCCAGACACCATGTTATGGCTTGGCAACAGTAGCTGAAAAATTAATGTGGCATGTACAGGACAGATGTGGGGTTTTCAAGCTCAGACTGTTTTCTGCTTCTATCATACCTAGGTACGAAAAGACTTTTGCAAAGTGCGTGCCCAACTTGTGATTGGGTTGAGCTAGAATTAAAAAAATGTTCGTGTTCTAAGACATTATAGCCTAAGTATACTAGCGGTCTTTCGGTCATTATCTGGCTGCTGAGCAAATCGCGTGAGCATAATGACTAACTGCCAAACTCAGCCTAACCCTACCAAATCTTTACTTTTATTCACATCTTGACAACATCGCATTTTTTCCCCTCTTTCATATTGATTCAACTCTCCCTCAAATCCTTAACCCTTCATATCAACTTCACCTCATCCAGAAGAATCTGCAAAGTGGTATGCATCCCTTTGCATATATCTGCCAGTGTTGCTAATCGCGTAGTAGTCAAACCGAACAACCCTACTTCGAGAAACGCACCAAAATTCCATCTTGATCTTCCTCATCTATCTACAATTTAGGAAGAGTGCATAAGGTGATGAGCATCTACTATCAAATTTCTGCAGCTATCGCTGATCAGTATACAGTCTCATTACGGAACGCGACCTTTTCATTCATCTATAATATCCTCTCCTGTGTGAACGAAGTGAATGACTTCAATTCAATTACTACTGTAATAAAGAACTAAGCGAACGCGAAAGAGACTAGCTCTTTTAGTAAGTCTATATAAGACTTACTACTTTCAATATGTAGCTAGCTCTTTAGACAGAATACAATTAGACATACAGGACCTACGTAATCCGTGGGTGCTACGTCTTCCGTATCCTTCTCGTACCAACATCTCCCTTATCCGTGATATCCACAAGATCATTCTATCTACAACAACGTTTTATCTTCGACTTCTTCCTATTCCAACTTCATCTTTTCACAAATATCATTGAGTCGAAAACTATTCATCCACATCATGTCTACAGATAGACAGGATTTTCAAATCTGGACTATTAGTACAAGCGATTATGATAGAAAGATTGAGTTCAGAGGTGAATTGATATTGGTTTATAATGAGATAACGAAGGATACACCGGTGGATAAGTATAAGGTTAGCATTAAAGAGGAATTTACTATTCCGAAGGGCTATAAATTGTTGCCCAAAAGTGACGCCACCCTTGAGGAGTGGTTAATTGGGTTCATATAATCATTCTTCAGGTCAACATAAATGTAAACTTCATGGTGGTGGTATTGGATCTTTTGCTAGATTATATAATATAACTCGAGAGAACAATTAAATGAAGTCTATTTCAACTTTCAGATTTAATATTGATAGAATCGCAATCCAAACTCCTCTACCAATTTGTCACCTGAATCTTGGTCAACCATAATAGAGAATACGATATCATCGTCATCGTCAAAGAAAAATACATCAATACAAGAACAACGCGATCCAGACGCTGATTTGTATAACCCAGTACCAATTATTGCTGCGTATAAGGAGGGTCCCAAAAGATTTAGTCTCTCTATTAGCATATTCGAATAATACTGAGCCTGACCTTGAACAGTTTGAACCTTTGATAGGGGCTGCAAGTCAAGCAATCCAATAATTTCGAATCCAGCTTTGCGATCAACCCTGATAGAGACTGTAACATTTTGTTCCCAGTTTCGAGGGAACATCATCATAATACATTGTTTATAATTCCCCAGACCTGATTGATATCTAGCCATTATATGACTGCGAAATACTCCCTCGAGATTTCTTTCTAGATACTCTTTTTGTGGATTATCATATATCATCTCGATTTCTAGATCCATTGTTGTCAGCCTCAACTTAAAAATACACACGCATTAATACTTACCCCTCTATTCATTCGTAGCCTCAGTAGACCTGTCAAGGGTATATCTGTCTGAAGTCCTAGTGACCTGAATCTGACGAGCATTTTCCGTTTGTGATGGCAGCTGTTGATTGTCTATGGACGTCGTACTATCTGAATTCAAAAGTGTATATATGGAAGAAGGATTGCGGATGGAAGTAACTGAATTGGCATATGAAGCACGTACACTATTGCGAGGACTGTTGGCTCCATCTTGACCGGCGAACTCTGTAGTGTGATCTAGGGCAATCGGTTCAGCCTCAGTATCACCTCCACTATTGTTCAAGATATCCCTTGTAGTATTATTCTTGTTCTTCTTCTTCTTCCCCCCATCTAACTGATGACTTGGCTTCCGTTTTAATGTCTGGTTCCTGAATAAAAATGGCATTTTTGGTAGAACTAAAATATTAGTGAATGTTTTGATCCATATTTTCGCCACTTACAATTTTCAAGGCTCCTGATTAGTTTCTCCACAAGCTCCCCATACTTTTCCCCCAACCTAACGATGCTTTTATCTATCATATGTGTCATTGCCCTCTCAAATATTGGGCCTTTCATTGGCAGCCGTCTTTCCCAGCTATATTATGATTAGAGCTGTGTTTTGTGTTGAGCTGATATACATACACATTAAGTGGAACTATATCTCCAAGGAGAAACAGGCTTCCAACACCCAATTTCTCTGCAATGTTTTCATATCTCGGACCTGCTCGTAAAAAGGCTTCAATCGTTCTAACGAGAGATTGCATATCGTTGCTAGTTTCGTCTAAAGGTTTGGAAGGATAATAAATCGGGAAGATTTTGTGTGCTATACTTTTCGTATCGCTACTTTGACGTTTAGTTCTTCGACATCGACTAAGTGCAACACAATAAATTATACGTAAAATTCGGGAATGGGTATCAAATTGCTCAAGCCGAAGACAGGTAAGGATGATTGCAGATTGGTAGTCGATTGTATCGTAGGTCGGCTGTGCTTGTTTACATGCAAAGAATAACTGTGGTTTCCTGTTCCAATTATCGAAGTTCCGATCGAGGAACGTTAATACATGATTATCAGCAGGATCATACTCGAAAATCTTTGCTATACGTTTCTCAACAGTTAAAGATTCAGATATTGTACTTGATACTGGAGTTGTCCTCTTTTGTAATATGAATGGGAGGTGCGGTATTAATTGTTCGTTGCTAGATATATAGGTATATAATTGCGGCAAAAATACTCTTAGACGTTCCACGACCTTTATGATTTATCAGTAACAATATCTCTCTATTGAATTCATCTTTTTATACCTTTTGATTATCAGAAGGCTGTGTAAATCCATGTTGAATATCTGAACATAAACACATTTTGGTGATAGTTGAAAAGTGAAGGTTGAGAAACAGAAGGAGTGCGAGAAGTCGAGAAGTCGGGAAGTCGAGAAGTCGAGAAGTTGATGCGAAATCGAATTTCGGCTAAGTTGAAGGGGGTGTGGGGTAGAAAAGCTATCTCTAGCGCTACTGCTAAAATAAACCCTGTGACATCTGTACAGGCTTTGGGTGGCAGAAATAAGTGGATATCATAATGGTAAAGCTATCCACTGTACTATACTATACCCCTCAGGGTATGAAATCCCTTCCAATTATAATTTATATACCTCTCCTGTACTAGTCTCCATTTCTGTGGCCATGGCCACCCGAGAGACCAAAATACAGTATAGCTTTCTTTTCATGTTACTCGTGCTACTGCTAAAATAAACCCTTTGATACTTGTACTGCCAAGAGGAATAGTGGCCCATATATAAGTGGAGTGTCTTATACTTTCTGACAGTATGAGTATCTGTACATAGTAGGGTAAACCATTTTTGTGTGGATTTTCTTATTTGGGTGCTTCGGGTGACCATGGCCATCCGAGACCCAAATACAGTATAGCTTTCTTTTCATATTACTCGTGCAGCGTGATACTACTAAAATAAACCCTGTAGCATTTGTACATGGTAGGTAACCGAGGATTTTCTTATTTGAGTGCTTCGGGTGACCATGGCCATCCGAGACCCAAATACAGTATAGCTTTCTTTTCATATTACTTGTACTACTGCTAAAATAACCCCTGTAATATATGTACATAGTGGAGTAAACCATTTTTGTGTGGATTTTCTTATTTGAGTGCTTCGGGTGACCCCATGGCCATCCGAGAGACCCAATAAAGTATAGCTTTCTTTTCATGTTACTCTTGTTGCCAGAAAGTATAGAACACTCCACTCTGAAGTATATACCATAAGATGTTAAAATACATACAAGCAGAATAGTGGCCCATAATAAGTGGATGTGTTCTACACTCTCTGGCAGCACGAGTACGAAGTGAATAATCCTTCTACTTCACCTTGTCTTCTTATCATCTTAGATTTTCTTGATCTTATTTCATATACCTTGCATCTTTCCCTCCGTCTGCGGTCTTCCTGATACCATCCCAAGGAAATGTTCCAAGATAGAAAGTTTAGGCTATACAGTATTATACCTTTCTAAATCTTTGAGTTTCAATGTCATCATCCCACATATCCCCCCTTGTGAATTAGTCCAAGCCTGTATTTAAAAATTGAACAGAAAATATTGCTCAATCAGTAGAAGCCTACGAATGTAACAAATCTCATGAGATAGTACAATATAGTGTCATTTATTGTTAAGGGGGTAGATAGAGCCCATTTGCAATCTCAAAAGTAGTTACGGTAGGAATCAGTTATTTGAAAAGTATTTATATAAGAAAACTTTCTCTAAATCTTCCTTAAATTCTCAAGCTTAACTATCTCTATATGATTCAAGTTTGAACTTTTTAAAAAGAACTCGAATTTCAACCTTTCTTGTCTATCTACACAATGACTACGAATATCAGATTGTTTTTGTTGAGTTCATTCTCATCACTCCCCATACTTCAGAATGGACCGATTCATTCACCAATTAGTTCCAGTTCTTTGAAGGATTATTCTATGTTTGGGGCACAGACTTTGAAGAGCCGCCCATCCCGCACTATCGTTGAAAATATCCCTAGACCATTCAACCATAACGAGAAGTTCATTCTCGAAATCCATGAGAAACAAGGAACAAAGACAGAAGAATTTGATATTTTTCTTGCTGATTTCTTCGAAAAATACAACGGTCCATCCAATAGAGATACTGTTCTCATATGGGGCTTCGAGAAGGAACTGGCTCAGAAAATTTATAATATAGCTGAAAGACACTCATCCCCTCCTACGCTTGTCTACTCGCCCACGGATGCCACTATTCCCATCTGCAATAAATGTGTTCAACCGTTCTGCCGACATCGTCAATATAATTCCGAGTTTCTGTCGAAGTATCGGGGGTTATTAAGAAGTGTTAAAGAGAAGGTCAATGATCAGTTGGAAATCTGGGATATATCGAAGTGGAAAACACAAGAAGAAAAATTGGAGAAAAATGTTGGGATCTTCGGGATTACGGTCAAAGTCCTTGGGAAATTTGTTGGTGCAGCTGCCCGCGCAGTATTCACATTTGCTTGTATACTGATAGAGAGGGCAGGGCTGTGTGTACGAAAGGTTGGACGTAATGAAAGCCAATAGCTAGAATGTTTACTTTGACAACCCAGGCTATTATGCCAATGTGTTTAAGACTATGTATTCGCGAATAAAATGCCATTTATACGGGAAGTTCAGCTAAATCTTTTGATGCCTGTAGTAGGTGTCGAAGGTAGTATCGTGTTGACCTCCTGGGATCTTGGCAGCATATGCATATATATTGCATGATGCATATAAGGAGCAAACAAAACTCAACTTTTAATTCATTCTTTCCTTTTTGGTATATTGTTTGTTTGCTTTCAATATTTTGATTTCAAAGCACTTTAATTCCGAAGGCTGAATACCTAACCTCATTCCTTCATTTTTTTGAATATATACTCGCAGCTTAACTGCTTAGCTAGAGAATCAATCAATTCAATCTGATGCTCTTTCTGGTCTCAAGAAACCCAACACTATGTCTCCTATCACAATGATACATCTTCTTAATATACTACTAAAACCAATACAGGTGCAAGTCTCAGCTTCTCGGTGATTATTCCTACCGAGGAACTTTCCTTGCTACATCCAGACAACAATCAATTTCATCCCTCCCTCCCTTCCTATCATCCTTGAAGCTCGGTAAGTGTTTTTGAGCGAACAGCCATTCCACTCACCCTAAGATATCTAGCATATGCAAGGTGGAAGAAGGAACGACATACTAGAAGGAGATAAAGAACTTGGATTCGACTTTTTTGTGCAAACTCGTGATCACTTGAAGTACGATATCACAACATGGATCTTGTAAGCTCCATTGACAATCCCCACTGACAGGCTGTCCTCGAGGCCAAAGAGTTTTTCGATTATCCTAACCTTCCAATGAAATTCGAGCCTTCGGAGAAGAAGGTAGGACTTTCACATTATCAGCTGGTGAAAGTGCATAAGACCCTCGCACTCAGAGGAGCCTTAATATAACAAAACAAATACAGTTTGACTGTTTATCCTAAAGCATAAGAGATTCAGTAGAAACCTATATCAGTACCCGTTTTCCCTCTTTCTACTCAGAATGGTCTCTCAGAGTCCCTTCTACTCCCATCTCCCTCCTCATCTGCTCCTTTCTTTGGAATGAAAAATGGATCCAGATACTTCTTCTCCTTTTTGGAAGATTCTTACTTACACGACAAGTAAAAATATATCTACTTTTATCAAATTTTTCTAACCACGGCTTCAATAAAGTCAATATCGACAACCACAACTTTTTTCGAAGCCGATAGAAACGTAGCCAAGATATGTGATAGCTCAACTAGTACAACTCTCCAACTGACTCATTCTACATTCTATAGTTCTCTCAAACTAACATCGAAATTCCTCTCTACACTACCATCTCTCCAACTCTATCCCACAAATCTATATTTTGGCCTCCCCACGCACAAACCCAACCCCAAGCGCAACATCCTTAAGCCTCCATTTTCCATTCATAT